GATGATAAGAATGCTTTCTAATTATTCCTATGTTTGTAGACATCTTAGGTCACTATTAGCCATAAGATATAATTTCTTATCAGAAAGAGACACTGAGATTTCCAGCATTGCTCCAAATAAACAGCAGGATAAAGGAAAAATAAAAAAAGGCATCTTTACAAATTGTTTGCTTTACTTGAATGTTTAGGACCTAGGTGTGGTAAGTGGGTATTTATTCGTTACCCACCTTTGTACCACAACATAGTGAAAAATCAGTAGGGAGGTGGATTTTTAAAGAAGATAGGCACAGGCAACCAGTGTGTCAGTTAAATGCCTGTGATTAGCCTGTTATTAGACAGCTCAGATTACAGGCATAATGCACAGAGCCAATCAGAGTTGCACCCTGTGTTCATATTTGAGAGCCCCTCCTCCTCTGCAGCCTCCTGAACCCTGCACTCTGACTGCTGCACAGTCCTGAATTGAAATTAGGGGCATTTTAGGGCCCCAGAAAATGGCAGTGAGAGCATTACAGTTTTTTTTTTTGGTCAAAATGTGTTGTTTTTTTCCCCTTTATAGTAGAACAATTATACATTTATTATTAAATACCACCTAAGGAAAGTTGTACCTGTTTAACAAATATTATATACAATTCTTGAAGGGTAATGAATGGGTTATGTACTGTACACAAGCTAGTACCTTAAGTGGTTTAAGCCCAACTTCAACTTTAAAATTCTAATAAAATTCTATGGGCCTTGCATGTGAATGTAAAAAGCAGCTTCTGCAGCAATTCTGACCTCACTTCTGCTGCCCACCTCACTACAGAAAGCGTGCCCTCTCCTGCCACTATTCTTTAGGGTTGAATGATGCCCAGTATTATTGAACCCAGTTCCTCTGACCACAGCCTATCACAGACAAGCCTGGGTTCACAGTACTTTTGCACAAAACAGTGCTCACATATCATTACCTATGGCTCTTTGCTTCATTAAGGATTAACCCTGTCACATAGAGCTAGTGATTATGAAAAAGGACTGCCGTGTGGCCAGCTTGAAGAAACCTGGATTTTGAGGTATGTAAATTTGAAAATGTTTGATGTATGGAGAGGGGAGGGTTTGGGGTTAATAGGGGATACCCTGGAATTGTGCCTTAAAGGTTTAAAAACATTTGTCCCTTTTCTGTGGCTATTAAAGGAACCCCAAATTCAATGGCTCACTAAAAAGATAATTTACTACAGGAGTAAGTTTTGCAAGTCTGCATTCTCTTGGTGTACCTAATTAGGCTCAGGGGAGTAATAAAGAAAAAAAAATGATTTTAACCTTGTAGTCTGTAGTATAAATTACTCCACAACAAAACTGACAGGGTTACTTACAAAGCTGCCGTAGGCAGCTGAGTGAATACCCAACCAGAAGTGAGCCGAACGCAGAGCGGCATTCGGCTTGGCTATTCTGCTCAGTACCTCTGTGGTACCAAGCAGAATAGTGAAACAGTGAACAAAGTAGTAAAAAAAGTTTAAAAAGTTCAAAAAATTATAGGTCTTAAAAAATAAATAAAGATTAAAAAAAAAGTAAAAAAAAGATCATTAACCAGTTGACATCCGCGGTGTTAAACCCCCTTCCCATCCAGGCCATTTTTCAGTATTCAGCGCTGCGGTACTTTGACTGACATTTATTCCGTCATGCAGCGCTGTACTGAAATGAATTTTATACCCTTTTTTGGGGACAGATAGAGCTTTCTTTTGGTGGTATTTATTCACCACTGGGGGTTTTATTTTTTTACTATATTAAGGAAAAATTACCGAAATTTAAAAAAAAAAACAGTTTCCCCTATATTAAATGATAAAACATTTATTATTACCCAATTTTTTGGTAAAATATAAAAGATGGGGTCACGTCGGGTAAAAAGACACTAAACATGTCAAGCCTTAAAATTGCGTGCGCGCGCGAAACCTCAAAAAACGATAATACCCAAAATTGGCCATAGGCGACGCTTTAAAAGCTGTTACCGCTCATCAGTTTAGTGTTATCAGTGATTGATGGCCCTAAAATGATTGCTCTCACTGCGACGTTCGCGGCGATATGTAACATGTGTAGCGCAATTGTAATTTTTGCGCGCTGGGGCACCGGACGCGTATTTACGTTTATAGGCGCGTAAACGTGGGGGTGGGGGAGTTAAACATTTTGGGGGGGTTTTTTCCCCTTTTTTTATATGTGGCTTTTATTTTATTTTATTTTTTTATGTGTTACTTTTCTTTTTTTTTATTTATATTTTTTTTTTTGCACTTATTGTTATTGCTATTATATAGGGGGATAACAACCCTGGTGGGGGGGGTGCCGCGAACGAGCACATATAGGCGATCGGCGGGCTATGGACCCGCTGATCGCCTATATGTGAAACACCCGGTACCGGGTGTTCGCATTGAACGGGTCTTTTCTGCCCGTGCGTGCCCGCTAGGGGGCGCGCGCGAGCAGAAAAAAATTGCCGTCTGGAGACGGCAACCCGCAGATGCAGCAGTGCCGTCCGTCCGTTTTTTTACTACGGGCGGACGGCAAGAGGTTAAAAAATGAAAAAACAAAAATAAAGATCACTGAAAAAACAAAAATAAAGATCACTGAAAAAGAAAAAAAAGAATTAAAAAAGGTAACAATTGGGCAGAGCTAGCACCGTATAACTATATCCTATTGGCCCAGACCTGTCAGAGTCTTCTAGCAGGTTCCAGCCGATGAATAACAACTGGATGGAGCCAACCGTGATCTCACGGCTGGCTCCGGCCAGTTGCAATGACAGATATGTCATTGCAACTGGCCGGTGCCAGCCGGGAGATCACAGCAGGCTCTGCCCAGCTGTCAGCTGCGAGGCTTTCGGCCGGCCAACAGCCCACTTTTGGTTTCACTTACGCTCAGTCGAACCAAAGCATATGCCTTCGGCTCGACTGAGGTGCTCCGCCAGCTTTGGGAACGGTATGGGCTATAGTGAACCGAAGGGCTCAGGCAGCCGGAGCTACGGCTGGATCATTTGGCTAGCTTTGTGAATAACCCTTTGGGTGTCATTTGAATTCTCCATTAAAGTATAACTATGTAGTACCTCAAGCTCCCTCATCAGTCCCAACAGCTTTACCCTGTCTTTTTCCAGGTCAGGATCTTCAGCCACCTTGATTGGCTGTGCCGGGATAACTTAACTCCCATGCATGTGCAGTGGTTCATTCATCCCGGCAGATGCCAAAATTGCACAATGTCAAGTGGATTGAGAACAGGTAGGTAAGAGTCCATTATTGCAGAAGATACATAGTACGCTTCTTCTGCAATAACAAGCAGCCTGGTTGCTGTTTTTTAATGCTTATACAAAACTCCACTTCAAATTACCTTACTCTTGGAGTGGACCTTCCATAATAGAAGAAACAATGTCCTCATAGTGGAACCCCAGGCAACCCTGTCTGCAAGACTGGATTGAGAAATATGAATGTCTCCTGCGTGGCATGGATTTCTCAATCACAAGTGCAGAATTATAAATCCCTTGACAGGCAAAACAGTAAACATATTTCACCTGTGCAAATATTTGTTAACCTGGAGTTGCACTTTAATGATCGTTGTGCAGTATGTTTCTTCATACATAACAAGAACCTATTACTTGAATGTGAATTTTTTTAAATAATTTTCTATAAGATGACTGCAATATATAATGTAAAACGTCAGGACACCCAGGAGTGATAGTTCAGTTATACGCAAAGCCTGGTGAAATGTGTAACACCCTGGCTTATCATTTCCAAAGTTCCTGGTGATTATTTCCTATTGAAGAGCGAGGACACCTATAAACATTTCGAGTCAGGCAGAAAGGCACAGGTAATGGAAAGGAGCAAAGCTATGGGATAATCGCGCAAATGCTGGAAGTCATTTCCTTTAAAAGTAACCCCAATATCCTAGAATATTTGTGTGCTCTGCAAAGAAGGTGAAAAAGCTTGCAGCACCTGAATATATCTGATACCCAGAAGAGGAGCCAGTTAACCAACCCTAAACCACCACATAGGAATACTTTAAAGGTAAACAAGACAAGACAAGTAGCTAAATACACAGCTAAAATACTTTTATCTGAAGTGTTATAGGAGTCACTGGAGTTCTGTTCAGCTAGTCTTGAGCTCCTACTAGCAGCAAAGCAAGGTTCTCAATCCATTGCATTAACAGTACAGCTTGGTGAGCAACACACCCCAAGCTTTCTGATTGGACAATAAAAGAGCAGCAGAACGTTCTGCTTTCTACTCCTGTCAGCACATTTCCTTTTAGCATATATAAACGGCAGCACTAACTGGCTGGGTGGCTGTGTAGCACATATCTTGCTGTGCAGTGTAGTATCTGTGCTATATTCTGGATTAAAGTACCTGATTCCACAAACTGTATATTTATGTCTGCAGCTTAAAAAAATCTATTTGCCTGTTAAGAAGGCCCACAATTCTGTCCATATGATGTGTGGTGTTAATTATCTCTCACCTCTCCATCACTGGCTGTATTGAATGCTATGCGTCTAAAGACTCATTAGAGTTCAGGTAGAAAAGAAGAATAAGAAATTGAACACCCCCACAGTGCAGTCTAAGGCTTGGCAAATATGCCAGCGCCAGACCACACTCTTACACCAACAATGCAACTCTTTGCAGCAAACTGTGTTTCTGGCAGTTCTGATATGTCATTGTATTCAGTTAAAATAAAAAATGATTAATGATCTTTTTTATGTGCTCATAATACAAGGTCCAATTTAGCACTAGTGTTATATGACCAATGCCTGCACATCAAAATGCTATATAAAACCATGACTGTATAATTAATATGTTTATAGCTATAGATGAAAAAAATGCATAAATTCTGCATAGTACATCGATTGTTGAAACAGAGTAGAATCATTTACAGGTGCAACTTTCTATATTGTATGTAAAACCTGTCCATAGAGCTTTGCAAATACACCTTGAGAAAGCTTGGATGGGTGTTAAAAATGAATAAAGGATATTTCCAGCACAACCCAAATTGTTGAAATAATTCTACCTTTATGTCTTTGTAGATAAGAAGCTTCCTTTCTCTCAAAACAAAATATCTCTCTTGAAACTTATTTCCGGAGAGAAGTTTGGATGAATCTTCTTTGTATTTCATGTTGCCTGACTGAATATGCCGAGAAGGATTTTTATCTACAAAGATAAAAAAATGCTGAATTACAATATAAATGTATTAAACAGCTTTAGGCAACAAGTAAATTCATTCAGTAAACTACCCATGATATCTAGGAAACTCAGCACAAGTCAGAAAGTATAAGCCCAGTTAGGACTGCTGGCCTAATGACTTGCAAACTGATTGAACAATCTTCTCTAGCTCTACCAAAAATTATGTATCCTTGAGTAGATATAAAGTGCGTGAATTGTTAGGGAAGGCTTTTACTACATAGTCGTGGTAGATTTAATGGAAGTTAAAAAAAGATTGCACATTCAGATTGCAAGGTGTATGGCAGGATTGTGACAATAGATACTTAGGGGTTGATGGTGGAAGTCAGCAGAGCTTCACCTCATTCACTAAGCTAAAGGGAAAATTACCTTGCAAAGTGAGCAATCTTACTTGCCTTTAGTAAATCAACCCCCTAGAGTGCTTCTTGATAACAGATTACATGACAAACTCCATTCTTTGCCTGTGTCAATTTTATTGGTGGTATAAATAGGTAATTGATAGTTTTGATGCATGCATGCATCAGAAATGGTGATTAACCACTGATCACAATGAAACTTGGAGATCCCCAACCTGGCACCCAGGTCTACCTTCAATGTGCTCTTAGAAATCCTAGGGAGGCAGTGTTTGTCTATCCAACCACCTACTGTGCTACACATTTGCAATACAGCTGTAGCCAAGCACAGGACAACTGAATTATATATGCACAAAACTTAACAGTATTAGCGCTCACGTCGGCTAGTGTTGTTTTCCCGCATATGACGCATTCCCAGATAATCCTGCCCTGGGTTCTTAAGGGGACTCTGTTCATATTTGTAGAGCCGGTGGCAGATCGCTTCTACGATTCGGTAAAGTGGCCACCCCCCACACGACACCCCCACCATGCTTCCCAGGCTCCGCTGCCCCTCCTGCGGGCCCGAGACTGGCACCTCGGGTGTTGGCAGAAAGCTGGGGAGGAGAGCAGCGAACATGCGTTCACAGATCTCCTCCCTGTTTTATGGGACCAGGAGCGATGAGTATTGCATCACTTTCGGTCCCTGAGCTGTGATTGCTGGGCTCCTGAAGCCCAGCAATAAGCTTTGAAGTGCGATCTGCACTTCAATAGCTTATTTAGAGTGTAAAGGTGATACTAGGGGTCTTTTGGACCCCCAGTATCACCAAAAAGAGGACCTGTCACTGTCAATATGCTATCACATGGGGGACTTTAAAAATATTAAATAAAATAAATGTAAAAATATTTTTAAAATGTTAAAGTCTCCCACCCCTGTGAGGACGCGCATCTTCACGTTAACACGTGTTGGGTGCACCTATGTATGAAAACGACGATTGTGCTACACATGTTGGGTATCACCATACACGCCAGAGTGAGAGCAATAATTCTAGGACCAATATTTACTCATATGTCAAACCTGATGACCTGCATGGGCTTGTAAAGCGTTGTCTATGGACTTTTTGGGGTACTGAAATTTGTTGCAGTTTTACAGATGCACACAATTTTTAACCTGGGCATGTTGGGTATCTATGTACTCATTGCAATCTCATCTGTTATATTTTACCAAAAAAGGATTTTATATAGTGTTTTGGGGCAATGAATTTAACTGAAGTGCATTTTTCACTAACTTTTTGGGTCTGATAATAAGTTGCGCTAATGTCTTGCAACATAGGAATTTACAACTACCACAGTTTTATTCTACAGGGTCTTGGCTTTCAGAAAATACAGTATATAATGTTTGGGGGTTTTAATTCATTTTCAGGCTTACAATTTGGATTATAAAATGTAAACAAAAAACTAAAAAGGGCCTTGGTCCTTAAGGGGTTAAAAAGTCTA